ATCTTCCTTATGTCAGCCTCCTACAATGCTAAGATGATAGGTATGTGCTAGTGGGGCCCAGCTATGGTTTGAGAAGTATTCCCATGAACTCTTCTCCCTGGGCTAGCCTGGAACCATGATCCTACCAAGAAGCTAGGATTACAAGTGTGATCATATTGGCATTGTAAGGTCATGACTTTGGGGCCAAAGAGGAGAGAACAAATAGCAAACATTTCCCTAAAGGCAAGACATGGAATGGTATAAGAAAGACCCTAGGGGCTAAGGATTTAGCTCAGTGGAAGAGCACTTGCCTGGCAAGTGCAAGGTCCTGAGTTCAGTCCTCAGCTGTGGAAAAAAGAAAAGGAAAGAAAAAAAAAGAAAAGAAAAAAAGGAAAGGGCTGAGAAGGTGGCTCAGTGGTAGAGCGCTTGCCTTGCATGCATGAAGCCCTGGGTTCAATTCCTCAGTACCACATAAGCAAAAAGAAAAAAGCCAGACGTGGAACTGTGGCTCAAGTGGTAGAGCACTAGCCTTGAGCTGAAGAGCTGAGGGACAGTGCCCAGGCCTAGAATTCAGGCCCCATGACCAGACCCCTTCCCCCCGCCCCGAAAAAAAAAGAAAAGAAAAAAAGGAAGATCCTATGAATATATCAAAGTATGTTACATGCATGCATGATACTATCAATCAAAACATATTACTTCAGCCAACTGCTGATGACTCATGCCTGTAATCCTAGCTACTCTGCAGGCTGAAATCTGAGAATCATAGTTTGAAACCAATGTAGGCAGGACAGTCAATGAGAGTTTTTTTTGTTGGTTATGAGGCTTGAATTGGGGGTTGGCACTATCCCTGAACTCTTTTTGCTCAAGGCTAGCCCTCTACCACTTTGAGTTACAGCACCACTCCTGGTTTTCTGGTGGCTAATTGGAGATAAGATTCATAGACTTGGGCTGGGGAGGTGGCTCAGCGGTAGAGTGCTTGCCTTGCATGCATGAGGCCCTGGGTTCGATTCCCCAGCACCATAAAAGCAAAAAGAAAAAAGCCGGAAGTGGTGCTGTGGCTCAAGTGGTAGAGCGTTAGCCTTGAGCTAAAAGAGCTGAGGGACAGCGCCCAGGCCCAGAGTTCAGGCCCCATGACCAGACCCCCCCCCCAAAAAAAAAGATTCATAGACTTTTTTCCCTGGGCTGGCTTTGAACCATGATCCTCAGATCTCAGCATCCTGAATGGCTAGGATTACAAGTATGAACTACCAGTGCCAGGCTCCATGAGACTCTCATCTCCAGTTAAATACCAAAGCAGCCAGAAGTACAGCTTTGAGCAAAAGAGCTTGGTGATGGCACCCAGGACCTGAGTTTAAGCCCCAGGACCGGCGCGTACACACACAAACACACACACACACACACACACACACACACACACACACACACTAAACAACCCCCATAATATTATTTTGTAAAATATGTATTAACTATAATAGTAGTTATAAAAAGAAATAATTATATAAATGATAGATAATAAAATGTAGAGATTGGGAGAAGGAAATGAGCTTAATGATATGGAGAGTAAATGAATGGAAAAATAAATGCTATTAAATAAATGAACAAAACTCAGGCCTATAAGCCTAGCTACTCAGGAGGCTGAGATCTAAGAATCATGGTTCAAAGCCAGGAAAGTGTAGGCAGGAAAGACTCTTATCTCCAATTAGCCACTAGAAAACTGGAAGTGGTGCTGAGGTTCAAGTGGTAGAGCATTTGCCTTGGGTTGAAGAGCTCAGGGATAGCGACCAGGCCCAGAGTTCAAGCCCTATGACTGATCAAATAAACAAAATCAGCTGGGCACCAGTGGCTCACACCTACTACTAGCTACTCAGGAGGCTGAGATCTAAGGATCACGGGTCAAAGCCAGACCAGGCAGGAAAGTCCGTGAGACTCTTATCTCCAATTAACCATGAGAAAACTGGAAGTGGTGCTGTGGCTCAAGTGGTAGAGCCCTGGCTGAAGAACTCAGTGACATTGCTCAGGTCCAGAGTTCAAGCCCCATGATTGACAAAAAGAATCAAATAAAAATAAGTATCGTTAGTATGGCTAGAGCAAACCAGAGTTTGGTGATTGTGTTGATGAACTAGAGTTTGGGAACCTATTCTGTCATTGGATTATAAGACATGAAAAAAATCACTTTGTCTTATTTGTGCCTCTGATCATCACACATATATAAACCAAGACATCCAGGTTGACCTCAGAGTTTTCATATCTTTTATATTAAAAAGAAACACCTCCCTACAAATGAAATACCTGTTGAATAAATAACATTCACAAAGCTTTGTTAAGTACAAAGAAAATTAAATACCTACTTCTTTCTGCCTAGCACATTCCTTCACTTCCTACCAGACTCTTGCTTTCACCTTTAGGAGAAACTAAACACTATAAAATAAACACAGGGGGTGGGGAGGGGAGAAGGATTGGGTGGGAGGGTAGGGGGAGGATAGGAAGGGATGGGAAGGGGAAACAAAGGAGGAGGCTACACTGCTCGATAAGAAATGTACTCATTATCTTGCCCATGTAATTGTAACCCCTCTGTACAGTATTTTCACAATAAAAAAGATATAAAACTAAAATAATAATAATAATAAACACCAAATAAATAAACACTACTTAATCATGCAAGGTTGAATCAGAGGAACTTTGTCTATGTGCTCCCTTAGTGTTGTTTGCATTTCCCAAGTAATCATCTCTTCACTGGCCCACAGCCTGTAGTAGCTGTGAGCTTCTTTAGAGTGGAGAACATGGCTAATTTTTTCCCCACCAATCCCTTCTCATAGCAAGTGCTCGGGAAATGTTTGCTGAATTAATAAATAATCAGAAGCTATAAGAATAGGTTCTGGCTTTTAGAGATCATACGGTCTCAGTGCTGAGCTGGTAGAATGAGTTCCCCAGCCTATTTCCAGGATATTTTTTTTCCAGCTGTGTCACATAAAGGAAAGTGACTAGGTATATGACTTTTTTTCCATTAGCCTTGTCAGCTGACATTGACAGATTTCTGACTTCTGCCTTGACCACTTTCTCCATGTCCTTTTTTTTGACATACAATGGTTATGTTGCACAGGCTAGCCTGTAATTCTCAGGCTTACCTCAGCCTCCCAAGTGCAGAGATTATAGTTGTGCACCACCACACCTGCTAGCCACTATGTTCGTCGGTTTTTCTAGAACATAGAGTTAAACACGAAAGTTATACAACATACAATTTGAGGAGTAAGGCCACAGCCCACCAGTAAGCATTGGTGGAGCAACTTTTGAGAATTCAAATCAATTATGAGTTCTCAAGATGGCTATATCCAGGATACAGCTCTAGCCAACCCTTGCTGATAGTGGGGTTAGTCAAATCACATTTTACTAAAGACAATGAGTAATGTTGCAGTGTATTTTGGTACTGGATTGGGCAAGTCAATTTTCTGTGACTTTGTTTTGCTCATGACAGATGACATTTACAGTTTTCTTACTTTCAGGAATTAATAACATCAAAGTAAATGATAGTGAGAGCCGGGCACAGGTGGCTCATGCCTGTAATCCTAGCTACTCAGGAGGCTGAGATCTGAGGACTGCGGTTCAAAGCCAGCACGGGCAGGAAAGTCCGTGAGACTCTTATCTCCAATAAACCACTAGAAAACCGGAAATGGCGCTGTGGGTCAAGTGGTAGAGTGCTTGCCTTGAGCTGAAGAGCTGAGGGACAGCACCCAGGCCCAGAGTTCAAGCAAGCCCCATAACTGACAAAAAAGAAAGAAAAGAAAAGAAAATGGTAGTGAGGTTAGATCAGTGAGTCTTAGTATTTGTGTTGGAGTTAGGGCAATGGTGGGGAGCCACAAGTGTCTATCTAGAGAAATAGTTAAATGCATAATTTTCGGCAGAAGCACACACACACAAATGCTGCATGTAATTTCTGAAGATTCCTGGGACTTTGGACTTTCCGGACCCTTGCACAAGCTCATTTATAGACCCCAGATTTACAATCTATTGGACCAAATGATTTTAAAGCTTGTTTGGTGTTTCTCAAGCTGTGAAACATGGAACATAGCATGAGAATTACTTGAAGTGTTTAATAAAATAAGAGGTTTGATGCAGGCATGGTACTGCGTGCATGCCTGTAATCTCAGCATTGTAGAAGTTGAGCAGGATGATCACCATGTGTTCAGATCCAGCTTGTGCAGCACAGTGAGTTCCTGTTGCAAACAAAGCAAAACAAAACAAGCAATCAGCTGACAACCTTCTATTTCATAAACTTGGGATTGAGATGTAACACTCTGTGTTTTTGAGAACTTTGAGGTGATTGTAACATTTGAGAGTCAATACTTTATTCCAGTTATCCATTTTTATGTTTGAATACCTTCATGTGATGACTTCAGTTTTCTCTGTTAACTGTTCATTTAGCAAATATAACCAATATCATATTTAATATGATCTCATTGTAGAATATTTGTATATACATAGCAATGCACACACATAACTGTCCCTTTATCCTTGTTTCTCACTTTTTTAAAGCCTTCCTGTATTTTTTAAAAAAGATGCTTCCTCTTTTTGAGTTCAATTTCCCTATCTGAGAAATGGTGTTGTAAATTGGTGCAGTTCAAAACCATGTTCTGCTCCAGTGCTTAGTGACTCCATACCACCCCCTCGCTTCTAGGTACATCGATAGCATGAACTGCATGAGTAATAAGGACGATTGGAGACCAATTTTGTGTTATTTTTATATAGATTACGTTGAGATGCATTTTTAATTCCAAACAAAATTATTCTCTCCTAACTAAAGGAGCAGGAACAGAAATAGCCTGCTCTCTACCTAGCTCAAAAGTTCCTTTACTGTCTTAAGCTTTAGAAAGTGCCGTCCGCACCCATCAGTACTGTAATAGTGATTGTGAACCAAAAAGCCAGGGCGTGGTCTCTCCGCCCACTGCCTTCGACGTCACCAATCCTCGCGCAGCTTTCAAGAGTTGTGATTGGCTGAAAGCAAAAAAGAGCCCCACCCCTGGTCTTATGACTCGGGCTGAAGCTGCGCTGTGGTCAGTGGTCACTGGAGCTGTACTTCCTCGTCCCGCGAGCCTTTTTGCTGGTATTGCTGCTCTTGTCTCCGCAACCGCTGCTGCCTCCTGCTTTTCGGAATCATGATGTACTTCCGGCTCTCCCCAGTTCCGAGCTCAGGGCTCGTTCTTCTCTGCCTCCTCTTAGGTGAGTTGTGGGGCCATTGGGATTAATCTCCCCTCCCGGGCCTGGAGCGCGGGTTCAAAGTTCACAACCTGAAAGACCGGTTCAGACTAGGTTTACACACTTGAGCAGTTTATACTGGGTGGCGGTTGATTCCCCTGGGAAGCGGGGCTGTGACCTACCGAAGGCCAGACGGAGGGATGGCAAGGAAGAAGGGCCTCTGAGAATAAGATGTGGCAAATAAGGGAGCAGATTTCAAGAGAGTAGGCATAACAGAGCAAAGAGGGTCGGGGTAGAAAGAGCAGCTTGGGGAGGACAGTCAGGAGCGAGCTCAAGAGGGCAGTATATGCAGATTCTGGGATAACAGACACAATTAGGGGAGTCCTGGTTTCCTAGATCAAGAAAGAGTTTTGAAGATGGTGGAGTAACCAGAAGGGTCAGAAAGAAAATTGGAATGAAATACATCCGGTGGGGGGAAGGAAGAGCATGGGGTGGGGGAGAAAAAGGATAGAGAGCCTAAAAAATTTGGGACATGGTTGGGGGTTCTTGGCAATTTGAGGCTAAAAAAGAAAGGGTGGCTGATGAAGAATGATGACGAATGATGTGAGATTAGACTTTGGTCTCAGTTTTGAGGGTGAAAACAGGTATGGTAACTGAAGCAATTTTCAGTAGAAAAAACTCGATTCAAATCTCGGGAGACTGAAGGAATGAGGGTAAACTTTGGCGAGAAGTGAGTATCTAACTCGGTAGTGTCGAGAAGTTCGATTTTCTATTAATTTTGCTACTTCCTCCCAATCAAACCAATGAGAGAAAAAGTCCTAGATGCTTCAATTGAAACAACTTCTCTGATATGAGGTTTTAGTAGTTGTGTAGCTCAATTTTGTGGACTATCTGCCTGGTCTTCAGAGTTTTCTATTATCTTTCCTATCACACAGTTGACCTATTAATTGTGATTGTGTAGCAGGATTTTGTTAACTTTTAAAGGATTGGATTACTAGTAGGTCCTAAGAATACCTGGATGAGTGGAATGTTGGTTGGTTCTGCTCTATTCTAATGAATAGTCCACTAAAAGGTTTTAGTGCCTAAAAGTGAACTTTGATCGGTGTGTCTTGTTGACCAGATTCATCCTGTCCTTGTTAACCAGTGACTCTTGCTATTTATGCCTTAATCAAAGAACAGAAGGAACAGACCCACATGCATGTGGGGGAGGAAATAAGATAAGTTAAGGGAGCCTGAGAAATTTTCAGAACAATACTGTGAAGATCTTTCTCTTCCCTCTCCCCATTTCACTTCACTATAGTGTTTTTCAGAAGCTGGTAATGTATGATGACATCACCCACCACCCAGAATGTTCTAATGTTATTGTTTTATTCATTTCTCACTTTTAATTTCTAATACAGTAAATACTAGTAGATATAATTCATACAAATGAAAGTTCTGTGAAGGTCTCCATGGATAGGTGAGTAAAGTGGACCCAATTGCATATCTCTTGCAAATGCAAGAATACTTCTAAGCACTTCTAGTCCAGGGCACTGAGGTCTTGCTAGAACACTAAGCCTTAACTTCACTGTGAAACCTCTGAAGCCTGTAGGCCCTAACAAAGGCTTGTTTACAGTGGAAAGCACCTTATCAGTGACTAGTACACATCTGACAAAGGCATCTGTTAAGCTGTATTTCCCTGCCAATTGAGTCACACACACAACACTTATTGTTTAGGGAAAGTCAGAAAAACGTAACTGTTGTCCTACTTGTTAGCTTTTGTGTAATTTTTTGTAAATAAATGATTTTTTTTGTTTTGTTTTTACAAAAACTGGTCACTGTAGAAAACTAGCAGGCAAAAATAAGCACATAGAACCTAGTAGCTCTTCTGCTAGTTTGCCATTTATTGATCAGGATGGAATAGATTCATCCTCTTGCATGGTTTCTAAGACCAGTTCCTTACACCTCCAAGTTCACAACAGAATTTGGAGGACTCAAATTTTATGTAGATAGATTTAGTTTGCAAAAAGCTCCAGAATGCAATATGGTTGCTTTTTCTGATAGCTCTTGATTCAGTGTAAGTGTCCTCTTACTTGTCTTTAGTTGCTTAGTGAATTTTTCTTGCTATTTTCTTTATCAAAATTGATAGTAAAAATAGAGGGTTTCTTTTTTTGGGGGGGGTCCGGTCGTGGGGCCTGAACTCTGGGCCTGGGTGCTGTCCTTCAGCTCTTCAGCTCAAGGCTAGCCACAGTGCCACTTCCGGCTTTTTTCTTTTTGCTTAGGAATCGAACCCAGGGCCTCAGGCATGCAAGGCTAGCGTTCTAGTGCTGAGCCACCTTCCCTGCCCCGAGGGTTTTTTGTTTTTTTTTTTTTTACTTAGCCTACTTTAGCTATAGGGAGGATTTCATTGTTACATTTCCATACATGTTTACAACACAATCTAACCTCTCCATATCACTCTCCCTGCTCCCACCCTCCCCTCCCAGAATAATTTCAACGAGTTTCATTGTTCTGTTTTCATAGCTGTAAAATAATCTATTTTGACTGTGTTAATCCTCATTTGTCCTTTGTTAGCTCCACCTCCTCTGGTTAGTGCCCACCCCCCAAACAATCCTATTCTATTAACCCCTAGGTTTCACTAAGTTTCTTTATGTTGTTTTCACATATGCTTGCAATGTATTACAAAACTGTCCACTATCTACTAAGAATGGGCTTTTGAAAACAACTTTGTGAAGTACCTGCTATTTGCCTGGTATATACCTGTGGGTACCAATGAAGGAGACTGTCCTGAATTTATACTTTCATTATCATGAATGTTCTTGCTATGCCTGTTTCACTTTATAAATTTGTAGCTAGCCTAAGTCCACCAAGTAGCTATTTAAAAAATAGCTTTATCCAGCAGGACACTAGTTCCTCACACCTTTAATCCTAGCTACTCTGGAGGCTGAGATCTGAGGATTACGGTTAGAAGCCAGCCCCTGCAGGAAAGTCCATGAGACTCTTATCTCCAATTAACCACCAGAAAACCAGAAGTGATGCTGTGGCTCAAGTGGTAGAGTGCTCACCTTGAGCTGAAGAGCTCAAGGACAGCACCCAGGTCCAGAGTTCAAGCTCCACTACCAACAAAAAGAAAATAATAGCTTTATCAGTAAAGGAAGGGGTGACAATGTCCAAAAAGAAATATTACCTGACTTATAAAAGGATAAACCCTCTGAATACTAACAACTGAATGGTAAAATTGAATTATATATATTTTAAAAACGAGGTTAACCATAAAAACTTCTTAAATAACCAGAAAACCAGAAGTGGAGCTGTAGCTCAAGTGGTAGAGTGCTAGCCTTGACCAGAAGAGCTCAGGGACAGTGACCAGACCCCAAGTTTAAACCCCAGGACTGGCACACAGAAAAGAAGAGTACATTTTGTCTTTCTCAGACTATTAAGTTCTTATCCTATTTTCTGTTCCTTTTTTCTCCTAGTTCTAGTCAAGCCTCTTTTATGATGTTAATCTCTGAGAAAACACACTGTCTTATGTGTTGTTACTTCTTACAGCTTACTGAGTACCAGGTATTCATTGGTGGGCACTAGAGATAGAACTGTGAACTAGACCCAACATAGACTCCTCTTTCTTCTGTGAACCTTATGTACTATTTTACAAGAGGTTCTTTTGTGTCTTTGGATTGGGAGCTTCAAGGTCAATGCTAACAGCTCAAGTAATTATAGAGCACATTATGAAATAAGATGCCCTATAATAATGCTAGTCTCTTACCTGCATAATGAATGCTTAAAAGTTAATATAGAGAACTATGAAGTCCTTGGTGAGAAAGGGTTAGGTTTTCATAGAGAACCAGTATCTCTCGTTTTTGAGGCAATCTGAATGTAAATATGGAGACTTTCTATGGCTTTGCCATACTTTGTTTAGTAACAACTTTGGCATAAAGGTTTGTCAAAGTTAATCTAAGCTATATTCGTAGAAGTACTTGAAAGGACAGACTTGTCATTAGTCCATTAATCACTGGTTATATTGGATATGATTATAAATAGTCAAATATGTGCCTCGTGTACAGATTTATTCCACTGTATCCTTGCATGGACTTTGTAACGATGGATTGTTGACAGCTTTGGAACTAGCTTGAGTGTCTCTTGATCCAGGAAGGCTGTTTTTCCTAATATGGTGACAAAGCATTCTGATCATAAGTTCATATTAAAGTGATCAGAGATAGCCTCAGATCCACAAATGTTTTTTGTTTGTTTGCTTTTTTTGTCTGCTTTTTTTCTTTTGGTGGATCTTTGGGCGTGAACTCAGGGCCTGGGTGTTATCCCTGAGCTCTTTTTGCTCAAAGCTGGCGCTCTATTGCTTGAACTACAGTGCCACTTCTGATTTTCTGGTGGTTAATTGGAGAGGAGTTTCACTGATTTTCTGGCTGGACTGGCTTTTGAACCATGATCCTCAGATCTCAGCCTTCTGAGTAGCTAGGATTACAGGCGTGAGTCACTAGCACCCAGCTCCTCAAGTGTATTTTGCAAGTACTTGTTGGTTTCCTACTCTGTATTGTGAAAGAATTCTGGAGATCTGCCAAATACCACTCAGCAATAAGCATTTTCTATTAGTTGACTAGAGTTGAATCTCATTTCCTTATATACTTTCTGGTCTTAAAAATGAAGTCATTCTATGACTTCAAACTGTTTGTCCTAGTAATTTTGTTTTTCAGGTAGAAACTCACTAATAGTCCATGCTGGCCTTGAACTTAATGATTGTTCTGCCTCTGCCTCCTAGTTCTTGGACTACTGACTTGTGCGGTGTGTGTGTGTATGTATGCATTTTTGTGTATGTGTGTGTATGTGTTTGTTGACCTTGAGCTTTAGTTTGGCTTTTTCCCTAATGACTGATGTTCTACCACTTAAGCTGTATCTCCTGTCTTGGTTTTTTTTTTTTTTTTTGCCGGTCATGGGGCCTGAACTCTGGGCCTGAGCTCTGTCCCTCAGCTCTTCAGCTCAAGGCTAGTGCTTTACCACTTGAGTCACAGCGCCACTTCCAGCTTTTTCTG